AGTAGTTGCCACAGTTATTTAAACAGCTTGTGAGACTTTGTTCCCAGTGTAAAGTAACATACCACACCATATGAAGGGTTACATGTCTAATAAAAAGTCTGACCTATGATTTCAACTAAGTCCATATAAAAGTCATATTCTTGTTCCCACAAAGACAGACTTGCAAATGAACTAGGACTATCACATAAATTTCCCTCCTTCATTGCGTAAGACAGGGCTGGCTAAAACTCACAAGACACAAGAATGAAACAGTCGATGCTATTCTTCTGGGCTGTGACGCCGTGCGGAATCGTAAGTAGATCCAACTCTTCGGATAAACATATCATCTCCAACTTCAGGGCTAAAAGAAGCTGCATTTCTAGTTTTTTTAAAATTTGCAAAGCTATAAAATCGTGTAATCAAAAGTGATATGAACGAATACAAAAAAGTAATCGTTTTATGGTGATATTACTGAAGTTATTAAATTATTTTTTGAAAATATATATAAATCCTCAACGAGATGCTGAAACGAAGACTCAGAGAAGTTGATCTTGTTTCACATAATGTATATTAAACACAGATTAAATACTTTTGTGCTAATAGTACCCTAATTCAGAAGTGTTAGCGCGTTCGATCCCCGACGGGGGCAGAGGATTTTTCCTCTAGCCTCTGCATCCAGACCGGCTCTGGGGCCCACCCAGCCTCCTGTTCAATTGGTACCAGGGTCTTTTTTCGGGGGTAAAGCCGGCCGGGGCGTAACGCTAACCACTTACCCTTATCTAGTTCCAAGATTAAGAATGAGTAGAAGTTACATCACCTCTCCTCCTAAGTGCCTACATGGCGTGTAGCGGGACAGCTTTTTTTACGTTAAATCCCTCCTTCCCACTGCACCAAAATTATAAGAACCCTTGTTTTAGCAGTTACAGTAAATTACTTTTGCATATCAGTAAGGCTTAGAGGCAAGCACTCTTACGGGTTTATATCAAAACTGACACTGTCTGCTGTTCAGAAACTCATAAAAACATTTAATGCTTCTCTGTGTCATGAAACACATAAAATCAGATTTAAGAAGCCGTCCCACAAACGAAATTAATGCCATTTGAGGTGACTCGCAAATCAGCCACACAGAAGCCATATTGAATAACTTCTTTGAACGTTCAGGGGCATATGAGTTGCATCATTACGGTGACGAGGGTTACAGTAGAGCCACCTATTTGTAAGTTAGATGTGCAGATATATTTTAAATTTTCCGGGACTGAGACATCTATGTTAGACAAACTTGGTTGTTCATAGTATATTAACTAACTGATATAAGATTCTCCTTGATGCGGGCCGCAAAGAAAGGATGATTCCGCAATGTTGGCATTTGAAGGAGAAGGGTTGCACATCCCTGAAACAGATGTATTCAGCCATGATCCGGTCACGAAAGTCGTTTGCAAGACGAGATGATGTTCTCATTAATGTGGACGAGGCGTTTCTGAGACACGTCACGTGTGGACGTCAGTTCTGATGATGTTTCGAACCCGAATGTGGCCACTGATCATAATCTAAAGTGGAGTACGCATTAGCTTTGTCTTCATTATAAGGCACTCTTACACTTAACGGTACCCGGAGTTTGTCCACCCCTTGAACACGTTAGAATTTGGCAGTTATACAAGCCTCCGTGCTGTGTCCCTTGTTCAGTAAGTATGTATATCATTATTACATTGTATAGCACGTCATCCGGCGTGGAGGTCCCCACATTCTCAATGCTTAAGGGCGGAGTAGCCACTGACATAAATCATGGGGTGTGTGAGTTGCGGTCGGAACCTGTAATTTCTCTCTTTCTTCACTTCGCTCTCCTCCTCTATACTCAATTCCTTCGTTTTCTTTGTTTTCCTTGGCTGCTTTGGCATTCTTGCCACCTGCCACCATACAGAATATGTTGTGTATACATACGTACATACATGCATAGAGAGCCACTCCCCTCCGTGATACACGCAAGCTGTCCTTCTAAGAAAGTCTTTTGGGTGTGACTGATAGTCAATTGACTTCGAACATACAGGAACAACACGCATAAGTTGCTCACGCAAAGTATAATTGACGCTATAATTATTATAACAGTGCTGGACAGAGAAAGAATGAGGAGTAGCTTTACGGACCTGGTGGCGGAGAATATAACAAACATTTTTATACAGAGATGATATCGCCTACAACACAGAACAAATGTTGTTGGCTTGCAGCATTAGAATTATAAAAAGGTCTGTTCCATCCGTGTGTATGACAACCTTCAACGCATTCTTCATATCTCATGAAGTTAAATTGGTAAGTTAAATCATAGAAATACCGTCGTATAAATTATGTCAAATCATTTCATGCCATACCGAAACCTGTTCTTGATGGTTCAGTGCGTTCAATAAGAAAAAGAATGCAAATAAAGCAGCTGTTGGAAGCCTGTTGACACTTCACTTGAAGTGCGTCTCTGCAGGTAACCACGACTTACAGGGTGGTTGCTGTTTCAGACAACCACAAAACTGGACAACCCACAAATCGAAAGTGTTGCCTATACCGATGTATAAACTGTGTTAAAACTATGGGTTACATTCCTCAGTAAAAATTATTATAATAATAAGCTTAGTGATTCTGTTCATTTATCGATATTTAAAATTGAATTAATTTTTTAATACCATTAAAACATCTTAGGTTTTATAAGATCCACTCGTTTGTGGTCTCCAGGAGAGGAAATATGACTTTCCTTTCGTTAAATCCTTGTATTTGAGAGGGTGAGCAGTTGAGATGCTTCACGAAATGAGTGTCTGTCTGGCAAATATTAAAAACCAAAATTCTCAGGAGCAACAGAGCTAAGACACGCTTGAAAGTAATACAAAAACTGTATAGGATTTCCAGATCTTCCAATCTCCTAATCTTTAGGTTTCACGAACTAAACAACGTTTGAGTGATTTCTGTGTTGTTAAATGTACTTGTATCACTAAGTGCATGATAGGATGCAAATGAAAATGCAGTTTTACATTGGATTCTCTCATACGATCTAAGAATAAACGGCCAGACTCTGAAAGGATTCGAATCATGTACCTGCTGATCACAATTCAGGAGTAATTTCACGGACTGGTTTTTAGTGAGTAATCAGTTCATTGAATCATCACATGAATGAAGTTTACTTTAAGAGTTTTGTTATTCTTCCAATCACAGCTGTTAACAGCTTGTGACTTGTTCTTTATTTGATGAAAATATAAGTAACGGCTGCACTTTGAATTAACGTTCATATTTAGCAGTTTCCTGAATTCATTATTGATCCCGCTAACAAGAACGACGAGGCAACTAATTGGCTGAAATCCGAAAACTTTTGTCTATCACATATTACAACTGAACTTGGACTCATATAATAAACTATGGACCAGACAACAGCAAAATATCTAGACACAAAAAAATTAAATCTCTGAAAACATATTTGAGACTGCAGGATTTGAGGTTTTCGTGGCGGTGAGTCTGAAGATGGCTGCCCTCTGGGGTCTTGCGCCGTGTAGTCTGGCAGAAGACCTTTACCAGACTACACGGCATTACAACCCAGAAGGTAGCCATCTCTAGATCTAAGACTTTGACTAGCAATAAATGTTTCGTGGTTGAGTAGTATATGACAGCAACTCTCGACTGCAGAACAGAGTGTGGGTAGAAAGCTATTGTGTATCTATCCCTCATAACCACAAAAAGTTCTAATGTTGCAGTACATTATATCGACAACGCCCAGTGGTGATAAAAAGGCATGCACATTTTCTGTCATGTCTACATACTGAGTTATGAGTCCGTATCACGTATCCCTCAAACACACACGTATTAATTAAGTGTTCCAATGTTAATGAAAGAAATGTGGTTCAGTTCTTAAGACACTTCTGCCTCATTTCTTATACTGTCTGTTAAATATTTTACTCAGACCAAAATGCAGTGGAAATTGTTTTTGGTAAGAAAGCGTTGGATATATTGGAGCACCGGAAGTATTCAACCACAAAGCAAGACATTGGAGCGTAGAAAACTGTATAATAAACCCTATCACTCTGTAAAAAAGGCACAACAAAGGAAAAGTCGGTTATTTATTTTATCTCATCTATTAATACCGTGCTCATTACATCCGAAACATCTAGAAAATTTCTTTTAAGGTGCATTAAAAAAATGTACAAGTTCATTGCGATGGAAATTTATCACATTCAATCATACGGCTTAAACATAGTTGCTTACGTTTCAGATAAATTGTGGCAATACAGACTATATCTGAGGACCTAATGCAGGTAGTCTTAACGTTCCAAACTTTTGTGTGGCTAGACGAACACAAAACTAATCACAATTAAGTATAAATTCATTTTCCTCTTAGACTGAAAGAATGTAATCCCTAATTGTGTACGAGATTATCAGTGGTAAAATTGCCCCGAATGGATGACTTCAGTGAATGCTTATATGGAAGAAAATGGTCGCTACGTTGTTTTGTGACACTGGATTACACGCAATTGCCTTTGTTTGCCTTATCGTCGCCATCGGAGGAAAGCCCGAAAATGTTAATGTCTTTTATTTACGAAAAGAAACAAAGTTGGAACATTTATGAAAAATTAACAAACGATGAAAAAATATTTTAATTATTTTCAATTGTCGTTGTCAACATTTGAACAACTATTGCAACGCCTGCATAACAGTTTACTTCGACAGAACACAAAAATTATAATGTACACTCACCTTCAGAAATGTTGGCCATTATCAAGTGAGTTTTCCTTCTGTGCTATAAAACTACATTTCCTGGAAGGACGATAAAATGTAAAAAATCGGAAAATACTATATACAGTGGATTCCGATTAATTGGGACACATCGGGACTAGAACACTTTGGCCCAATTAAGCGGTTACCCAATTATGCGAAGTTCCACATAGAGTTAAAAGGGTTTGTTCTTTAAGATTTGTCCCAAATGAACTTGCCCCGATTAACCGATGGCCCAATTAATCTGAATTTACTGTATTGTCAAATGTTATTTTTTCACTCACTTATTGTCCCATGGTGTATCTTGAAATTAGACACTGCAGAGGTCAAATTATAATTCTTGAGTGAACTGCGTAACACGTGATGAACAATTACACTGATTGTGCTGGAACTGTTTGCCTCTTCTAACCTTGACCAACTGGAGTGGCTTGTGGATACGAACCTGCGGCTGGTGGCGGTGGCGTGTTGAACTGTAGCCGCTGAAACCTGGCATGTTGTATATGGGTTTATGTGAAGGAAAATTCTGAGATATTGGAAAAGGGAGACAATGTTTTTTTGTATTTTAAATTAAGTTCAACACACACAATTGAAATTCTATTGTTTGGTCATCAGTTAAGCTTTGTAACGAAGGCAGAATACCATAGGGAAAAAAAGGCAAATGTCTATTAGGTTTTGAAATATCTGGTTTTTAAGAATTTCATATATTTGTGCGTCTACTTTATCCGGACGTCAGTTTTCTTTTTGCGTGCTTCAGGGCAAGAAAATTCACTACTTCCAATTTGTGGACGAATATTTTGCGTTCGGTACATTTATCTCTCGTTTAATTTGTTTATTCAGTGTTTTGTTAAACTGGACATTGTATGTTTACGTTGTGCCACCTTCTTCAAAAATAGCAATGGTTCGTACTTTCTTGAAATATTTGCATCTGCCCTATTTTGTATATCATCTTTCTGTCATCTTGTTTTTGTGTGACCTCATCAAATTATCGATTTACTTTCTAAGCAGATATTTTCTTGAGAGAAGAAGACAATTTTAAACTTTGTTCACATGACATATTGAAACATCTGATTCTAAAATTTCGAATAAAAGTTAAGGAAATTCCACGTATAAATTTAAAATAAGAAACATTAAGATCATACGGACCAATAAAATTCAATCATGCTAACGTTTTGCGTTGCAGACACTTGGCTTCTGGATGCATTTTTATAGATTTTCTAATGTTGATGTTATATCTTGCGAATTCAAATGTACACAGACAAACCGCTCCTTACCTACATTGGAATCCACAAGATCGCAAGACACAACATCAACATCAGCATCAACAAATGTGAAAAAACGAAGACCTTCAGTGAGTGTGATGTTGTGGTGAGAGTAACAGCAACACAGCAGCCATAGTGACTTTTCATTCTTTAAATGTCTGACTTATATCAGTTTTAATTTTAATAGTATTTTAAAATATTCTTTTATATCCAATAAGAACCGTATTGTTTCATAAAAATTGGGCAATACTCCTATCTCTACACAAGTTAGAATTTGTGTTTTATTTCTATATATTTATGTAGTTTTAAAAGTAGTATTCTTGAAATCTGACATTATGTTCTACTGATTAATTGGCCACTGAAGATGACCCCTCGGGGTCAAAACACGTTTGGCCTATAAATATACTATCCTTCAGTGTTAATAGTTGTTGGATATATAATTTTACATTTGTTGATAACATTGATATTTTGTGATAACAAAAAATATTTTACTTTTTTTTTTTTTTTTTTTTTTTTTTTTTTTTTTTTTTTTTTTTTTTTTTTTTTTTTCCCCAAATGGCTCGAAATCAGAATGCACAATTTTGAAAATTTCCCTCCAAACATCCAGTGTGAGATTTTTCTCTTTGTATGTTTCAAAAGTCCTGTCCCACAATACTGGCTTCTCTTAAATAAATTTTATTAGTATAACTCACAGTTTTCAGAAGTAACGACGGGCACTGAAAGGAAGGCGATTTACAGCTGGCTGATTTGACCACCGTACAGTAAATAAACAAACGTGTAGAGTATTCTATGCCTTTCCATGTGTCTTTAAACATAATTCGGTTAATCTGACGCGTTCAGTCGACTTGTCCTGCGGGGCCAGCTCGAATCGGTTATTTTAATGTTGATAGAACTTGTGAAGACACAGGAAACTAATGTACTGCTAGGCCAGTCGGTAAAATTACCATATCGGTAACTTAATCGATTCGGGGAAGAAACGTAACGTGTGTAAGAGGAGATCCACTGTTATTGTCTAACTGCGGGGCAGTCTATGAAACCGCCATATTCACAGAGAAGTATCTGTTTGCTTTTCTAAGAAGTAAGAAGCAAAATAAACTAACTAATTATGCATTTCTCTTAAACAGTTTCAATCCGGCACCGTCTCAGTGAATGGTAGTTTCGACTACTTCGATGCCACTAACGACGCGTGCAGTGCTCTGCAGTTGAATTTGTATGACACGTGATTATTTTTAATTTACACAGCAGTTGCTAAACGCGGACACAGGAAACTTTAAATTTGAGGAACATATAAATAATTAAATATGCATAAAATGTGTTCGATTCGAAGTGGATGAAGACACAGGCCTCCACAGAGGAGAAATAAGAGGTCAATACATTCATGTACACCCCTGAAGATGGAGACAGTATGTTCCTCTGAAACCGTGGTATCAGCCTACAAGTCCACACTGCGTTACAACACAGAACACCAACACCGAGACCCTCATATCTTATACGTAGTTTTGTAACGTCATGCTCCGCTATTTGTAATGTCAGTCTTTCAAATTAATCCAGATTGTTTGCGACAAACTTTATGGATGATTCATAAAGAGATTATGGGAATCAAGGGTAGGAGGAGGAACTGTCTCCATATGCACCCCTTGATCTCATGACTCATTAATCCACATCAAGACAAGCCGGGTCGGCAGATAATGATTAATAACAGTACACAAATAGAGCAATCAATCTTAATATAGGCCTGTATATGATATCAGGGATAAATCCTACGAGCACTTATCTCATCCTTTGCGACATAAAGTACACAGTTTCGAATGCTAACAGCCGAGTCTTCTGGATCAGGGAGCTCACTCAGTGGCCTGGAACGTAACACGTGACGCTTCAGAGTGGAATGGTGAGGAAGGTCATTGGCTTCGGTGACCATGTTAGTCGCAATATACTCATGTTTTACGGGCTGCAGAAAATCAGACTTTCGGTGTCAGGGCAGAAGTGTTCTACAGTAGCCATGCGTCTCATTCATAAATTTAAAAAAAAATTCACGCATAATCTGTACATACGTTTATTATAAATTTCGTAATACAAAACAATCGCACGACCGTCATGTTGTCATTTCATATTTTGCAAAAAAATAAAACGCTTTATATATTACTTCAATACCCTTTTGGCATTTTAAGCAGAGGTAATATCGCTTCCACCTTGCAAGCAAACGCGTCCGCCATGTTGTTAATGCTGATTGTAAAAAATTAACAAGTACAAAATTTGTGTAGACGCCAATTGTATAAAATTCGTCATAGTATCGTGAAAACTGAAACTGGAACCACACGGACAGTGTCGTGATAACCTAACCTACTTTCTCTCCTTTTGAAAGAAAAGTTTGCTAAAATTGCTGACGAGAAAGGATACGGAAACATTGCATCTGATTCAGGACGTTCATGAATATAAAACATGGATACTCATGAAAATAAATTAATTATACTGGTTAGTCTATTACGTTCGTCATTAGCGTAATATGACCCATCAAAGATGGCGGTAATGAACCATTTTTGTGTTGAACTGTATCACAATTTACTTCAGCATTATCTTTGCAAATCACAAGTACAGAATTTATAAAACGTCTTTTTATTTTATTTATACAGAACACAGATTCCTGTCAAACGCACCAACACAAAACCGGATGCCTGAAGATTCTCGTCAACGCCATATTCCGCTAGGCCTCACCGTAGTCTAGTTTGTTTTTCTTGCTGCCAGAGTCGCCACTATCAAAATTTAATATCAACATTTTCCGCGTCGCAAGAACGTCGCATTTGTAGAGTCAAGCATGACGGATATTGGGCGAAGCCAGATTTTCCATTGCCTTAGGTGCATTGATATACACGACTTGGGAGTTGGCTTTCGTTGGTTGTTATTAAACAGTCACACACATTATTATTTTTATTCCACTGACCTAATAGTTAAGCGCTCAGCTAGTAAAGAAATTCCCAGCCCTTTATGGAACTCAAAGGTACATTCCCTTTTTCATAAGACTCTCCAAGAGTTCGTATCCTAAGCCAGATGATCCAACCGCACCCTGAAATCCTATTTCCTTATTACCATTAACGAAAATTAAAAAAATACTAGACAAGAGAAAAGACATTTTAGAAATCACAAATCTTGTAGCAACTTTCCTCACTGTTTCATTCTTGTTACAGCAGAAATGCTTTTTAGCAAAGTGAAGAATTACGGCAAATCTAAAGCTGTGCTTTTAAAAACACGTTTTTATTGAGAAGTCTAACAAAGTAAGTAATAAAAATTACGATAATTACTTTTTGCTTCATTAGAGAATACATGCTTAATACGGTTTATCGTTTGCAAACAGTGGTTTTAAAAAAATGTTCACTAACCAAGAGAACAAAACTTATCTATTATATATTCACATTTATTTATCTACCTAATCCTATATTGTCAACATGGTAGTTGAGATCATCATCTTTCACATTATTAAACTTCTTTCCGAATGTTGCTTCTTAGTAATTTATTGAAATACAATTTGTCATTAGAGAACACTGCTATTAAAATTAAAAATTAAATCCGTGGCGTAACAGCTCTCTGAGGGCCAAAGCCGACTAGCTTGACTGCTGGCCTCACGTTCACATACCTAAGCAGAGGTGAACGATCATCCAACCAGATATAGGGTGACGTGTGGTCAGCACGACGAACCCCCAGCCATTGCTAGCTTTCCTGACCGGATTACGCTACTCATTGCAGCTCCCCAATTTCCTCACGATGATGGGTTGACACCTGTCCCATACACCGGTCGAGAGCTCATGAGAAAATTTCTTCTCCCCCGAGACTCGAACCAGCGCGCATTCCGTATCACCGGTTCGAAGCACGATGCCTCAGACCGCGCGGCTGCGGCGCGGGACCAGAGAACACTGCTATTCCATCATTTTATTTCACGGCCACCTGATATCTGCCTCATAAAACTTAAAAGTTCATTCTCTAAGAAGAAAATTGTATCTGAAGTTATTAAAAAAAAACAAGCATTTTGGTTCGCCCTGTAATATCTGATTTTTGGCAGGCTCAGTAAACCGAAACATCGTGCAAGATTTATGTGGCAAAGAACTGTGTCACCCCTGTAACGAAGTATCAAAAATAAACCACAAGGCGGTAGGAGAGGTGGGGAAAGTGGCAGAACTGGTGGTGTGTCACCAGGAGAAGCGTTCAAGAACTCACCTCTCTACCATAGACGCGGTAATGCGATTTAGATCAGACACTTGATGTACTGTGACACTCTCGGAGGCTTGTATCGCGCTCCTCATCTGCTGGTTCGTTCAAGCAAGTGATGCTCACTCAGGTCGTGATCACCTTGTGGTTGAACCGATGGCAACGTATCGCAACACTCCATAAGAGAAGGACGCTCGATTTTAAAGCCACGTTTCTGAAAGTGGTGGTGGGAGGGTTGCGTAGTGTTGCTGCCTGATAAAATGCTGAAAATGTCTTCGTTTCACTCGGGGATAATAATGTGCGCAATAGACTTATTAGCCGTAATTTTAATATCAGATTAGCGTAGTATGACCCGTCAAAGGTAAAGCGAATTAACCACTGTTACACTGTACCAATATTTAGTACAGAATTATATTTGTAAATCGCACTGAAAGTAAAAAATATATAAATATTCTTTACAAACTAAATTAAATGTGAGAACATTTTCAAGGCGACTAAAGCCAGATTACCTCCAAACGCACCAAAACAAAGTCAACCGCCTCACTACAGACTCTACATTCCCGTCAAACGCAGACTCCGCCAGACCCCACCATAGGCGCCACAGTAACAATTACCTCGTTTGCAATTCTTGTTAACACAGTCGTCACCACCAGGACATTATTTCAGTCTTCTCCCACATCGCAAGTTCAAGGGTGACGAACATTGGCCATTATAGCCTATTAGAAGTAGGTATAAAACAAATTCCGTGGCATGTGTGTCAGTGCGCGACGTATAAAGAGGTCACAGTCTTGCTTTGCCCTACTAATCCTCTAATCGAAGTGAAGACGCTTTGGACGTAATAGAATCTGAATTGTTAATAATTTCCTTTGTTTAATATACGAGGCGCGTCCACAAAGTAAGTTTCCCACTCGTCCCACAGCTAGCAAACCTTATATTGCGCGAAGCGACTGTGCGTACGTGATAGAGCAATGACGTAGCATGGCGCATGCACTAACGGCACCTCCCGCGTTCTCACAGTAGCATCGTTGCAGCTGTTGAAGATGGAGGTTCTTATTCCAGCCCCCGCCGACTGTGAAGTGCGGGCAGTGATAACGCTAGGCCGCACACGGCTCGACGGACAGCAAGTCTCCTGCAGAAGTTCAGCTGGGAGGTGTTTAATCATCCACCCTACAGCCCGGACCTCGCTCCCAGTGATTTCCATCTTTTCCTACACCTCAAGAAATTCCTGTCCGGTCAGCGTCAGCGTTTTGAGAATGACAGAGAGGCGGAGATGGTGGTCACACAGTGGTTCCAATCCCAGGCGGCAGACTTCTACGACACAGGTATTCAAAAGTTGGTCCCACGGTATGACAAATGTCTCAATTCCGGTGGCGAATATGTTGAAAAATAGCTGGACACTTGCTGTATCTGTTGCAATAAATATTACCATGAAATTGTGTTTTGTTTCTGTAAACGGCCCCAGGGAAACTTACTTTGTAGACGAGCCTCGTAGACACACACCTTGTAATAAAAATTTCTGTTGTCTATATAGTCCCAAGAAACAGTGTCTTTCTACTACTCTGTTCATTAAAAAATTGTGCATGTTTCTTGTTTCCCCAAGCGCTAAACGAATTAAAACCATGTGACGTGGACCACTTAATAGGCCTGTGACTTCATCAATATTATCTTGCAAAGATTGTACAAGACAACTTCCTATAATTTTTTATTACGTAATTTAATTATTTTCCAGTGTACTCTCTTTTTAAAGATATCCGTCTTCTGGGTTATTGCGCTGTGTAGTCTGGTCGATGTTAACCAACGTTTCAGAGGTCATACTGCCTCCGTCATCAGGGCGATGAATATGATGACGGAGGCAGTATAACCTCTGAAACGTCGGTTAACATCGACCAGACTACACAGCGCAATAACCCAGAAGACGGATATCTTCATACTCACCGCTGTGAGAACCTCAAGTCTTACTCTCTTTTTGTTCCATACACGTTTATCAAATTTCTCCTAACACTTATTTTTAAAGCTTCTAATTTCTGTTTTCCTCGCAGAGTTGAGGAAAGGCATCACAGACGTAAAAAACGAAAAAGAAGCAGAATTCTTTCTTTTGCGCGCATGGTAACAACTTTAATATTGTAGATAACAAGGGATTGCATTTAATTTAATTTAATTTTGCACATTGGTTTACTGTTGTATACATGTTGGTGAGCGGTATACTAACAGAAACTCCACCTTAATCGATTTGACTAACACACCTACTTAAATGGATCAATTTAGCTTGAATAATGGCCCTTCATAGTTTAATGCCTAGTAATTATAGTTCCCTTTCAGTTATTGCTTTATTCGTACCTCATGATAGATATCATTCTTAATTTAAGTACACGGCCTCTGGCCATCATCATTAGACCTCATTAAGTGGGTGTACCGCTGAATAAATAGAAGATAAACTGGAAGACGTCCTTCAGTTGTGTGGATTGGTTACATCCATTAATCATAGATTAAACACAGGCTAACAAAGTTCACTTGCTTCTTGTGGAAGTATTGTTTGCCATCGAGAGAAGCTTCTGATAGTGTGGAAATCACACGTTACAAATTCTTTCTTCGAATATGAGACTGCGTATCAGCTTCGCAGATTACGTAACTTCGCCTTACAGGAGTGGCAGGGTAGCAAAACAGTGTTGGGTAAGTGGCTGTGCTTAAACGGTGGCGTACAAAAGTCGTAGAAACTTTCAGTACCTGGAGTTACTGAAACAAAGAAATGTGTTTCACCTCTCTTATCAGCAAAAACAACATCGGATCATTCCTGACTAGCCCATAAGTTGTCCTTTGCTCACGCTAGAGCTTTAAGAACAACTTCTAATATTCAAAACGG